TTTGTATTATTAATAGCAATAAAATTGGAAAATTACTGTCAAATGAATTTTGGATATAACGTGAAATCCAATTTGCAAAATCTTGTTTCTGATTAAGGTGTAGCAATTATATGAGCTAAATCTAAATGCAGATGAGGGAGATGGGACGGTCGTAAGGCGGCGAGGTCGGCCGAGGAAAGTAAGGAACCTCGAGGGAAAGAAACTGTTTCACGGCGAAGGTTCCAGCGGAGAAGATTCCATTAGCGTCACTGAACAGATCAGTCAGGACGAGGACGAAGAAGAGGAGCAGCAGCCTCTCGTTCATTCACTCAAGACTTCCGCTTCTAAGCTTAGAGCTCTAAGAATCTCTCAGCAGCAGGAAGCAAGAGCTCAGCCTGGAACCTCTTCATCTGCAGGTAACTAATTCCCTTCATGTATTATATTCCTCTGTTTTTATAAAAGGGTTTTTTACATACCACCCAAAATTTTATTTTATTTTTAAATAGGAGCGGGCAGTTATATTTAAAGTTTAGGGTAATTTGTGGTTGGTTGAAATGTGGACTTTTATTTAGGCGGTCAACAATCCCATATATTTAAAATTTAGGGTGGTTGGTACGTAAAAATCCCTGCCGAAAAATATTTACATATTTATCAAGATTGTTATATGAAAGGAAAAAAAAAGAGAGGAAGATTTATGTACTTACCGCCCAATTTACATGTATTTACATGTCCAACATCTAAAATTCAATTTTTACATATGTACCATCTTGTCTATATGCATGAAAAGTGTATTTAAATGTAAAAATTAAAAGGTGTTACACGTAAATACATAGGAATTGGATGGTACGTATGTAAATGCTCCCTAAAGGAAGATGAAATACATAGGAATTAGATGGTACGTATGTAAATGCTCCCTAAAGGAAGATGAAACTTACTAATTTGAAAAGTATATATTTTTTTTCTATTTTTAAATAGGGAATTTTACATACATACCCCACAATTTTTGTGCATTTACATATCTAACACCTAGAGTTCGATATTTTTGCTTATAACACATTGGTAATAAAAACGATGAAAATGTTATTTTTGATGTGATGTCAAATACATGAACGGTATGTATGTAAATATGGAAAGCTAAGTTGTTAGATATGTAAATAGATAAGAATTTTGTGATGTGCATGTAAATGCCCTTTGTTATGTTTGTAACAGCACTAATTTCTTGCTATTTCCACCAGGGAGGAATGTATAGCCATTCCATAGGAAAGAAACTGGAAGCACAGTTTTCAAAGCATATCGAAGTATGAGACAAAATAGTTAGCTTTTAAGGCTGTAAATATAATTAATTACAGTTTGTAATTTAAAACAACATCCGTGGCATTTTGGACTTTTATTTTCTGTTTTATTTTGTTTTGTTTTGCTTTTTTTTATTATTATTTAACATAAAACAAAAGTATGTACGGTAACCCTAAACGGTTTTTCAATTTCTATATATATATATATAATAAAACAAGCCAATACAATTATCCCCTCCATCTCCGCCGCCATCTCTCCAATGGTATGTGATGAAGTATTTGGATGTTGTAAATATAAAAAGTAATATTTAAGTGATAGATATGTAAGAGGTGGAATTACCCTAAAATTATCAAATGTTCAATTTTTTTATAAGTATGGGACAATACCTTTATGTCAAGAAGGGGACAATTATATTTCTAAAATTATATTAGAAAAATATTAAATTTTATTATTTATATAGAATAATTTTAAATTTTTGGAGAGGAATCGATCATGTTGAACGTAATCTTATTCCGCCTTTAGATTCGATAGGAATTAAGTGGTTTGTATTTAAATGCTTTTTATGATATAAAATTTGATAAAACTGAAAAAATAAATACACTGGAGTACATCATTATGCATATGACTATTCTATATAGTGCCCTGTTAGAAGTTTAGAATTGCTGCCGGTAGTTAAGCACGAGAAGCATTCAGTTTGTGAACTCAATGACTTGTTAGTTCGATATTGTCAACTAGGCAACTTGAAAACTCAACTGGTTAACTCAGTTGGAGTTCAGCTCGTTGAGTCAACTCAGCTCGCCGCCTTAAGTGTACATTCTTGCAAAAAAATATTGATTTTAAAAATGTTCAAAATGCCACCTCACCTCCATATGAAACCAACATTAAAATTATGGGATTTTGGATCACAATCCAACGAGGAATGCTTGCTACTAGGGTTGTTAACCGTTAACCGTTTGTTTTTGAGCCGAGCTGGTGTCGGCTCACAATCGGCTCAAAAAAATTTAGATTTAAAATTTCGGCTTGTAACTTGGTTGTTCATTTCGATCTGATCTTGGTTTGAACCAAAATTCTAACCAATTTCGAGCTATTAACGATCTTGGAGCTAAATTCGTTAAATTCGTACTCTAAAGTTATTTTGGTTATTAACGACTTGATTTCAAATTTTTGGGATGGCTCGATTCGTAATTTAGATCCAATCTCAAGCCCTACCTAAAAGCCATTCACCAAATGGGATATCACTATCCGCCAAGGAAAGCTTCCTGGGTTCCCCGTCTGCCGCTTGAAAATACAAATTCAAATTCGCGCGATGGCGGAATTCAAGTTTTTTTGAGGGCGAACTCTGAGGCGATATGGGATCGCTAGAATCCTCTGGCGAAGCAACGTTAGGGTTTAAGGAGATCAGGATTGCAGCGGAGAGCCTCAGCAGATCTGATATGTTCCATCTTGTTAAGGAGCTCCTAGGGTTCATCCTCTATTCGCACCATCAGATACCCGCGTAATCCCTCCCTCCCTTCGCGATAACTTAAAAACTCCCATCCTCATTTTCGTCTTGCTCAGTCATTCTTCTATTAGAATTTCACTTCTGCTTCTCGATAGTCGCCATTGGTAAGTATCATCACTTCAGTTGGTGAATTTTTCGCGACGCTTTATGATTTTTTTTTTGATTTGTACGGTATTTTACATGTCTACTCTCTCCTTTACATTAACGTTTAATTTAGTCTGGTTTCTATATTTCGCTAGACAAATACATTACTCGGTCATAAATGTGTTTTTCGGTGTATTTATTGAAGAGGGTTTCCATGTTTTTTCTTCTTGTTTATCTCTTCTCCATCGTATAGAGACGAAAGCAGTATTATGTATACATTTTGGTCAATCTCTCAATATGGAGCTTTTGGTTTTTTACTTTTTTCTTATTGCAACTTTTAGCCCTATCTGTCAACGGATTTCGGCAAGGATTTATGCAGGATTAAGCGAAATCTTGCCAGACAGTCATTTTGGACAACCTAAATCCAGGGCTTTTCAGAGGCATTAAGAGAGTATAATCTTTATTCATGATATGAACCCTCATATTTATAGGCATATGTCCCAGTATTACAAAAATATATATTGGTCCCCTTATCATTGACTTTTCAGAGGGACTTGTTGGTAATTATAGAGTTATTAGCATATAATAAGACCGGGGAACCGATTCGATTGATAATAGTTTGTTGACCGTCAAGTAAGTCTCGACTTGATCGATATCTAATCCGAAAGATAGCTTCCTATCAATCGTCCCGATGGTTGATCTCTGGCATGAGGAAAATCTTCTAACACGCTCCGTCGATTGCTCGAACAAGACGCATCCCTTGCCAACATCCATCTTAAAACGATCATCAACAGATATGCTCGATCATCAGTATCATCCTTCTGAGCCGTTTATCTGTCTTTAGATTCGTGCTGATATATTTTTACATATACATGAATAGAGTAAAAATTGCAAGACAGTTTTACTGGATTTATAGGATTTTTTTAAATTGGTGGTCAAACAATTTTTGAGATTTAACCTATTCGGGCGGATTTATAGGATTTTTTTAAATTGGTGGTCAAACAGTTTTTGAGATTTAACCTATTCAGGCTTAGTGATTTACTTAGTGATTTATAGGATTTACTAAATTTTAGTAATTTAAAATCTTATCGGTTACCAGAAAGCACCTCAGGTGTCAAACATTGGGTTATATACATGCATGAGTAGCTAGATATATAAAAAAATAAAAAAA